TTAAGAAAATCAGTTGCAAATTTGAACTTTCTTTTAATATATTCACTTATTTTGTGATATAATATAGTACATCAAACTCTAGATGATTTTAATTAATAAAAAAAAAGAAAAAATAAGAATTCAAATATTAAAAAGTAGCCTAAAAGATAATAGGAACACTTTCGATATAAACCAAGTAAAGAAAGGTTTAGCAAATCATTCAAACTTTCTGGAGATATATATTCACTTATTTTGTGATATCTTATAGTAAATATATTTAAATAAAATTATAAAGTATCAAAGAAATATTTTACGATATATTTGATACTTTATCATTTTATTTTATTTATTTATTATATAAATATATTTGTTTTACTAATAAAAACCTTACGATTGTGTTCAAATATCACAAATAACTAGTACTTCATGTTAACAACTATCATAAAACCGTGTGTAATTAATTATAAGGAAATAATTTATATTTCCAGCTCTAGGTTTTCTTTGTTTAATAATGAAAAAAATCCTTAACATTTATCAAGTCTCTAAACAATTAAATTACATCTTCTAAGGTCTTTAGTTGGATTCTGTCACCAAACTAAATACATTTGTTTAAGCTCCATCCTTGTGACAATTAAAGTGGCCATTGTTCACCCTCATTCCTCATTTTGATTTATTTTTTAGACGTTTTGTTTCGCTTTGGCTTAATGCTGGTCTTGTGTTTTGTTTTTTGTTAGTTTTTTTATATATGTATATACATTTTTCTTTTTGTTGCAAATGCAGTCACATTCTTTTAAATACCAATTGGGGGTCAGTTAGTCCGTTGGTCAAGACTCTGGAATTTTGAGCAAGTGCTTTTTGTTATTGTGAGGAAAAAACAAGTTTAAATGCGGAGACGGAGAGTGGAACTCGACTTGGTTTTGGACCGCGCTCCGGCTTAATAAATTAATTTATAACTTTTGCTTGCTTTTTTTTCTTGCTCTCGCGAAACAAGTTGACCTTCAGTCGCGGGGTATGTCTGTAAATTTATACATATTTGATTTGGTATTTTATGTTATATATATGTCGGCTATATATATCTGTCAGGCGAATTTACAGTTACGTGTTTCAAGTGGAGCTAAAAAAAAAATGTATATATAAAAATGAAACCCTCAGAGGCTGGGCTTCAAGGGTGGGAATCTGATTTTTGGTTGAAAATTTGCAGCCATTGAATAAATGTATATATATATTTTAATTGGTCAAAAGATGGCTGTGGGATTTTAATTGGCCAAAGAGTTGATGTATTCAAATATTTGTCAAGTGGTTTAAGGAAATCATAAATTAAGTGCCAAGTTACTCATAGTTAAACAAAGAATAAAATATAAATTTATGTATAAAGTATGTTGGGTGAGCACTTAATTAAAATGAAGTAAGAAGTAATGAGATGTTTTCACAGAAAAATAAATGTGCCAAAGAATTGGCATTCAATAATGTGCAAATTATTAAAAATAAATCATTTATAAATAATAATAAATAACTTAAAAGAAAATCTAGTTAAACCAAGCCTTTAAATAATTTGTATTTATAAAAAACCCAAAAACAATGTGACGACAGCTATTGATAAATTAGAAAAAGTAAGAAAAAGTTAGGTTTAGTTTCAAATATCAAAGGGGTAAGGCAGAAGGCTGGACCAACCCCCCTGACCTGTCAGCGTGTTAATGATTTGCATGTTCCTAAATCTGAAAGTCCAAAGTACGGGGACCAGACATGGCTGGTTAGCCCTGTTGTCGTTGTCATGGAATTGAATCATCCCGGCGTTCCCTAGAGCATGTCTCCCTTCCCTCTTAACCCACTGTTGCCCGGCTGCATTAACCCCTTTTTGCTGGCTGAAGCATATATACGTAACGTGGCCCAAAGAGTGGCAACGGCGACACAAAAAAAAAGGCAACATTTTGCAATGGGGATTGGAGACTGGGGGACTGAAGGCAGCGATATTCCAAGGCTCAGAAACTCTGTTACTCAGAGATACTGTGTATCTGGCAGATACAATTACCAAAGGCGATTGCAGTGCGATGCGACTGGGAATGCGGGAATTTCAGGCCAATGCGGTTTAATAGCCAAAAACCGGTAACTTAATGAGACCGCCCCGATGCCAGAGTCTTCTATAATGCTTTTTGAATAATATATAAGCACTGAGAGAAATTTAATGAAGTCAATCAAAACAGAAAACATCACTTTCAAGATTTTCAGCTAGGTATTATTAGTTTCACTTAGAAATATAAATAAAGGTTTTATTTATAAAGAAAATGTGCACTTTAGGCTATGTACTTCTTGAAATGTATTTCAAAAGTGCTTTTGTTATAGAATGACTTTCAGTTTGGGTTTATTTGAGTAAGAAATATTACGAAAATATATATATTTCTTGGTGTAATCGTATGTAAAATACCAAAACGCATCACATCGCAATCGATTCCCCCCGCAGGGTCGCCGATACATTCACTTTTTTTATATTTTTTGTTTGAATGCCGCTCCTCTCATCGGGTTTCACTTTCATCTGAATACGATTTGCCAATCTGAAAACCTCTCCACGGATGCGAGGCGGATGTGCCATGCCATGTACCACCTCTGGGGGTCAAATTATATATATTTAAGATTGCATATTTGCAGGGCCACAAAGGAACTTTAATATTCATGCAACTTTATGGTACAGGGAAGTACATAACATACATCGTGTAGTCAGTATTTGTACTTATTTTTTATGGAATTTAAGACGTCTTTATAGACTGCATGACTTTTGGTGTTTAAGTTTGAGAAGCATTTGCTTTAAAATAATTACTTTTAATAAATTTCAAACATTGTATATATGATAAATAAAATACCAGACATTTAAAATGCAATATGATGGATTTTCTAGTAATTTAAACTACCTAAGACATCACTTGTGGTTAAATATTTTAAGAATTTCATGGAATATAGCTGAAACTTCTATAAAATCTTCGATAAAACAACCCGAAAGGGTATTAAAACCGCAGATATACTGAAAAATCGAATGCCTGAATGGGCGACTGATTTAATCTAAGCATATTGCATATGGAAGATGCAAGTTTCGATGGAGGCCTGGTCTGGGGAATTGACTTGGGCTCAGTTCACTGTCATTGTCTTTGGGTGCGACTGTTGCGTTGGCGTTGCAACGTTGCAGCGTTGCACGGGTATGGATGTTGCATGAATTTGCAATTTTCGTTGGCTCATTTTGCTGGGCTGGGCCCCCGATTTCCGCCTGTTTGGAGCAAAGACAAAAGCCCGAACCAATTTCCTCTTCACACGCATTTTTGCAGACTGACGTCAAGCAGATCGGGGCGACCGTGATTAAAGCCGCCATAAGATAGACAACGACGACGACGATGATGATGATGATGATGAGTCTCTTTGGTTAGTTTCTTGGCAGCAGCTCATCTGCCAGCAGCACTTGTCGCCAAACGTGTTTCGCCCCCGCGGATCCACAATAAAACGACGTGGCCAAAAATAAAGTAAGTTCAGTCAACAACAGAAATATATATAACAACAAAATAGCAAAACAGCAACAATAAAAAAATTGACAAAAATAATAAAAAGCGATCGGGCCCGTGCCCGTAAAAAGACAATTCCTAAACGAGTTTTTCTGCGCATGCGCAACTGAAATTTTCATGACTCGCTGCGAGAAATATCATAGGATCAGCAAGATATATGCCTCTGACGAAGGTCCAAGCGGATGTGTATATAGATGAGAAGGCCTCCCCCCTCAACAAAAAAAGAAACCCAATCCAGGCAGCCTCATTTCGATTTCGTTTATATTGCCATTTAGTTTTCAAGTAAAAGTTTATGCATCGCATGTGGCTCGTATTTATTTGCGCCTTAAGTTATCCGTATCTCAAGCTCTATAGCTGTATCTGTATCTGTGGGATGTATCTACGGGCAGACCATCATCTTTAATATGCGTGCAATGTATCTCAACGAATTGGGTTCGTGTTTGAAAGTTTTGCACTCGATCGCTTTGATTAGCATGGGAATTGCAATCACCGAAGTCTTCGCAGGTCTGCAAAAGGTGTTAATCGGGTAAAAGTTTTTGGGATTGCATAACTCCCGATCCGAACAGATCGTAAAAACTGTCAAGACTTGAGTTTTTAATCTTTATAGGTGTGCATCCCCCCCAAACATGCCACTCACTTTGGCATTCCTCACCTGAGTGATAACTGAATTAATATTTCATTTTAAAAGGAAGGTAAGTTGGAAAAACCTGAAGATGACTATTAAAGTTAAAAAAAGAATATAAAATCTTGCTAAATCAAAGATCGTTATAAAAATTATATCTATATTCATATGTTAATCCACAAATATCCCTTGTCTATAGGCTGTTTTTATCTAGATTTAAGGTCACAAACGATCTCTCCAAATCACTCTTACTTTCGGTTAAAGATTACGTATTATTATGGTTTTTTTTTGTTAGCCAAAGTCGGAAGCATATTTTTGTGTGTTGGCCAAAAGAATTCTTCGTTATGTTGTCACACATTAATTATGCAATCGCCGAAGAGAGACGTTTTTAATATCAAGTTAAACCAGGCAAACGAAATCGAAATCAAGTCGATGAATAATTCAGTTGATTTGAGAATGAAGAGGCAAACCCACGATGCCAGTTTCGAGAACTCGTTTATGGGGGATCTGTGAGATCTGTGGGATCTTTCCTGACTACAATTGGTGCCCTGGGCAAGGATAACAACTTTCCAGGCAGCCAAGGTTGCTCTGCTGCTGTAACTTATTCCCTGTTTTTGGTATTGTGGCCAGGAAATCACAAGTCCGGACTTAAATATTTACGACTCTTGGCCAGATTTGCGCTAATTGCGTACAAAATGCAGCAGCAAATGCGAAATAAAAATGATTTCTCAGCTTGCAGTTGTCGAGAGTTGATTTTTTAATGAATTTTTTCTGTTTTTGTTTTTTTGTGCCACAAGACACGAGTGTGAGTACGAGTTCGAGTACTAGTATAAGCCAGTATTGTGGCAACCACTTACCGGAAGCATTTTGGCGGCTTTTTGCTGGTCGAGGTGGCAATACAAGGCTCCTTTGGGTTAGATGTTGCTGCTGCTGCTGCCACTACTGCTGCTGCTGCTGTTGCTGCTGCTGCTGTTGCTTGTGTTGCCAATATTGTTGCTGCTGCTCTCGTTTGTTGTTGTTATTATTATTTCAGTTAAACGCGACGACAACGACGAGGAGGGAAGAAAATAACGCTAAGATTTAGTGTGAGATATTTTTTGTTTGTCGTTAGTTTTTTTAGGAAAATATTTGCTCAGAAAACTGGGCTAAATGCGGTTGCTGCGGGGCTGTTGTTGTTGCTGCTGCTGCTGCTGCTGCTGGTGCAGCCTCTATTTTATTTTTTATGCAATCTGCACAGATCGCGGCTAAATGCTCCACTGCCTTCCAGCTAAGACAGCAACAACAACAACAGCCTTTGGGATGCCAAAAACCAGGCCGAAAGTAAAAACTGTTACACACGTCTGCGCATTCAGTTTTTCACTTTCGGCCAGGCGCAGCGGCGGCGGCGGCGGCGCATTTGGCCCAATAATATTGTATATCTACATATAATCCACACTAAGTACAATAAATGCAACAAGAGCAAAAAAAATATATATAAATAAAACTATCTGCACATTTTCCACATTCACTCGGGACACGCAAAAAAACAGAAACAGAAAGAAAAACCAAGCCACGAGTACGAGAGGGGGGGAAAAAAAGTAAGCACTTGAAAAAAGTCTACTCTATTGGCCAACTTAGTATGCACGGCCAGGGGCGAGTTACCGCTAAGCCAACAATACCGTTCGAGAGTCGCCGCTGCACTGAATTCGTGCGGTGGCCAAAAAGCGTGGCCAACAGCAAACCAGCAACAGCAGCAACAGCAGCAGTTGGCCAGAAACAAGTCACTTAACAGAGGCCAAAATCAAGTTACTGCGCAGCCGCAAAAGCCCGCTGTTAGCCGGGTTAACAGCGCTGCCTTTTGGGCCCAGTTAACATAACACCACAGAGAGGCCAAGACAGAGTACGAGAGCGATAGAGCGAGAGAGAGGGGAGTTCTTGAACACAATAATTAATAACAAACAAACAAAAAGCAATGCAAGCAGACACTGATAATGGAGACCCGCTTTAATTATGCTCTCAGGCGGCCAAGAAACTTATCAATTATGGACACACTTTTGCGGTTTTGGCGTTAAATGCCAGGGAAATCGGTCAATAATTGTTGGCCATAATTGCTACTGGTGGGTATGGAGAGGGGGGTGGGGAGAGGGAATTTGATTGTGTAATGCCAAAAAATATTCTGCAAAATAAATAAAAGGGCAAAAAATGGTAGTCAGCTATTTAAGCCAAAATTGATTGGTTAATCATTGAGGTCTAGGGGATTTCCCGACAAATATACTGAAAAGTATTTATGCTTTTATCATTAATTATTAAATGCAAACTAATGGTTTATTTTTAGTAGTTTTAATATGTTTAAGTTTTGAGTACTTGATTTTAAACCTATTAAAAAAATCTTGTATCTACCTATTTCTGTTTGGTTATTCGTTCAAAATATAAACTTCATAGCTGGATTAACTTAATTACTTATTAGAAGCAAATTAATAGTTTATTTCTTAAAAGTTTTAATATGTTAAAGTCTTGATTTAAAAGCTCTTATAGTAATCTTTTAACTACATATTTCTCTTTGGTTTCGCATTAAAAATATAAACTTGAAAGCTGGATTAACTTAATTACAGAGTACTTATTGGTTACTTCATAAAGACTTCCCTTCAACTATTAACCCTAATTAGCTGCCTTTTCCTTGAACTTTATTTAATGCTTTGATGTAAATCACATATATTAATTATACATGTGTCTATGCAGATTATTTGCAACTTGTTTTAAAATACAAGATCACACACAGATCACAGCAGGTGAAGTGGGCTTCAATTTAACCAGAATCCCTACTGAATAATTTGACTAATACATAACAAATTGTAAATATTAATATATAAATTAATAAATAAATAAGCAATATGTTGCATTATTTATTTTAATTTCAACTTGAACATATATATCCCTCTTGGGGTAATGAAATCTGTTAAGTTTGCATTAGAAATCAATTCCGAAAGTTACGATGGTCTTAAGATAATGCCTCAAGCTCTCTAGTGGGATCATCTTTGAGAGAGTGTTCGATATTGCAACAGGTGATGTTGTTGGTTTTTTAGCCTTTTTTTATTGTTGTTTGGCGATGGTTAATGGGCTTAATTTGTTGCGCACACAAATACACACAATAATGGGAGAAGGGGTGATGTCTGGTTATTTCAAAAAACCACATTTTGGGTTTGGCCGGAACTCAAAATCAATTCAGAGCCCCCAAAGCTAGGGCCAGGGACAGGGACAGGGACTGGGACAGGGCTCAATAATTTCGTGGCTGACCTTTGTTGGGACCACAGATGGTAAAAGAGTTTACATAATAGGCATTAAATGCTGTCATCGAAATGCCAACGGCTGCCAAGCGGCGGCGCGAAATGAATTTCAAATATTTTATCAAGCGATTTGCTTATGGCCATTATTGTTGTTGTCTCCGTTACTGTTACTGTTTTCTGGCTCTTTCTTTACTTTTGGCCCAAAACACACACACTTGGCTTTCTTCGGTACTCTACCTAAAAGGGGTTTCTTTGAATCAATCTTTAACAAGTTTATATATTTATTCAATAAAAAGGGTATATATTTAAGTGATTTTAAGTCGAAATATAAACTAAAGCTTTGCTTTGCTAATTATTCTGTATATTTTGTAATTATTATTCTTTATTTTGATAACTATTAAACTCTATAATTTGTAAAGAATAGAAAAACATAACCCTTACTTTTCTTGGGTCTTCAAATTGTATTAGTTTTAAGTAGCTTAAATATTGAATGTATTTGAATTGAAGATCTAGATCTATCTGAATTTGCATTAAAATATATATTTGATTATAATTCTTTATTTTGATAACTATTAAACTCAATAATTTGTCACTAATAGAAAAAATATATCCCTTACTTTTCTTGGGTCTTCAAATTGTATTAGTTTTAAGTATCTAAAATATTGAATGTATTTGAATTCAAGTTCTATATCTACCTGAATTTGCATTAAAATATATATTTAATTTGTTTTCTAAATACTTAATATTCAAGAGGTTTTGTTAGAGTATTCAACACTTCGATATTTCAGCCCAAACTTTAATTCCTTGTCTTTATATTTTTAGAGCTGTCTCCTCATTTCATTAAATTTCATTTCATTTGGTTTCATTTCTTATTTGTATTTCTGTATTTCTGCTCTTTCCTTTCTCACCTTTTGAGGGCTATCAATCTCGCATTTGGTAACTGCCATTTGCCAAGGCTAACACACACACTCGCACACACACTCCCTTGGATGACGACGATAATGACACCGATAATCATCTGCAGGATGACTCACGTTCGCTCCTGGCTGTAAAATGCATCCGCTGCAGGTATTCCCCTGCACATGGCATATGTTATATTCAGGGCACGCAGAGGGAGCTGCTCCAGACCTCGGGGTGCCCAACTTCCGCAGCAGGGCGGAGCCAGGAGGACCGGAGAACCGGAGGTGGTTTGGGATTGAGATAAGAAGGCGCAGCCCAGAAGGAAGCGAGAACACGTTACACGGGGGAAATGTGTTAGTAATAGTGATGGTTTGGGGTGGAGGGAAGGTTAAATTACTATATAATCCGAAAAGGGGGAAAGTAGTTTATTTTTCGTATTTTGTGGCAAACAAGATTATAGAAAATCCTGCAGAGGCCAAAGCCCTCTTAATGTAATTTGGTTAGATAGGAGATGTGTGAGATTTAATACATTAAATCTCTTTATTGTTTTCAGTTTATTTACATTAAAAGCATTTTTAGGTAATGAAAATGTCCAAAGAATCTATATAATAATATATTATATATTTTTTGCTTTAATTTGTATAGAATGCAGTTAGTCTCCTATATACTCTTACTCTTTCTATAAGTCGGAACGGGCCGGATCGGAAGACTATATAATTCAGCTGCCATAGGAACGATCGGAAATTTTTTGCACAGTTTTTAACAGAATTTTTTAAACTAATTTGATTTAATTATATAAAAATTTCTTTTTAGTTTTATGAAAATAGCAATACTAAATAAAATAACTAACAGAAAAACTGTTGTTAAATGTGGAGGATCACTAAGTATCTTTAAACAGAAAGTTACTATGAACAGAAAGTAACTATGATCAGCAATTAACTATGATCAGAAAGTATCAATAAACATTAAGTAACTCTGAACAATAAGTATCTATGACCAGAAAGTAACTATAATCAGGAATTAATTTTGAACAGAAAGTACCTTTGACCAGTAAGTAACTATAATCAGTAAGAACCAGTAAGAATGCATGATGTTACTAACTTTAAACACTTGTAAACAATGACTTGCAACTTTTGTAACACAACACATATCTGGGACTTGGCTGGCAGAAGTCACTTCGTTCCGCGGCTGTTAGAACCAGTTGGGAATCATAGTTTTTGGAACAAACTTAAGAGCAAGCTATTTGAATGAAACTATTGTTGCTCCTCCATATAATTTAACTAGTATATAAATCGGAGTATTGCGAATCGGTGGACTATTTATATATATATATATATAGCTGCTATAGGAACGATAGAGGATCAGTAAGTATCATTCAACAGCAAGTTACTATAAACATTAAGTGACTATGATCAATTATTAACTACAATAAGTAATTAACCCTGAACAGAAAGTATCTATGACCTGTAAGTAACTATAGTCAGGAATTAATTTTGAACAGAAAGTATCTTTGACCAGTAAGTAACTATGGTCAGTAAGTATCTATAACCAGTAAGTATGTATGATCAGTTCCTAACTTTAAACACTTGTAAACAATGACTTGCAACTTTTGTAACACAACACATATCTGGGACTTGGCTGGCAGAAGTCACTTCGTTCCGCGGCTGTTAGAACCAGTTGGGAATCATAGTTTTTGGAACAAACTTAAGAGCAAGCTATTTGAATGAAACTATTGAGTTGCTTCTCTATATAATTTAACTAGTATATAAATCGGAGCATTGCGAATCGGTGGACTATTTATATATATATATATAGCTGCTATAGGAACGATAGAGGATCAGTAAGTATCTTTTAACAGCAAGTTACTATGAACATTAAGTGACTATGATCAATTATTAACTATAATCAGTAATTAACCCTGAACAGAAAGTATCTATGACCTGTAAGTAACTATAGTCAGGAATTAATTTTGAACAGAAAGTATCTTTGACCAGTAAGTAACTATGGTCAGTAAGTATCTATAACCAGTAAGTATGTATGATCAGTTCCTAACTTTAAACACTTGTAAACAATGACTTGCAACTTTTGTAACACAACACATATCTGGGACTTGGCTGGCAGAAGTCACTTCGTTCCGCGGCTGTTAGAACCAGTTGGGAATCATAGTTTTTGGAACAAACTTAAGAGCAAGCTTATTGAATGAAGCTATTGAGTTGCTCCTCTATATAATTTAACTAGTATATAAATCGGAGCATTGCGAATCGGTGGACTATTTATATATATATATATATAGCTGCTATAGGAACGATAGAGGATCAGTAAGTATCTTTTAACAGCAAGTTACTATGAACATTAAGTGACTATGATCAATTATTAACTACAATAAGTAATTAACCCTGAACAGAAAGTATCTATGACCTGTAAGTAACTATAGTCAGGAATTAATTTTGAACAGAAAGTTTCTTTGACCAGTAAGTAACATTAATCAGAAATTAACTCTGAACAGAAAGTATCTATGACCTGTAAGTAACTATAATCAGGAATTAATTTTGAACAGAAAGTATCTTTGACCAGTAAGTAACTATAATCAGGAATTAATTTTGAACAGAAAGTATCTTTGACCAGTAAGTAACTATGGTCAGTAAGTATCTATAACCAGTAAGTATGTATGATCAGTTCCTAACTTTAAACACTTGTAAACAATGACTTGCAACTTTTGTAACACAACACATATCTGGGACTTGGCTGGCAGAAGTCACTTCGTTCCGCGGCTGTTAGAACCAGTTGGGAATCATAGTTTTTGGAACAAACTTAAGAGCAAGCTTATTGAATGAAGCTATTGAGTTGCTCCTCTATATAATTTAACTAGTATATAAATCGGAGCATTGCGAATCGGTGGACTATTTATATATATATATATAGCTGCTATAGGAACGATAGAGGATCAGTAAGTATCATTCAACAGCAAGTTACTATAAACATTAAGTGACTATGATCAATTATTAACTATAATCAGTCATTAACTCTGAGCAGTAAGTATCTATGACCTGTAAGTAACTATAGTCAGGAATTATTTCTGTACAGAAAGTATCTCTGACCAGAAAGTAACATTAATCAGAAATTAACTCTGAACAGAAAGTATCTATGACCTGTAAGTAACTATAATCAGGAATTAATTTTGAACAGAAAGTATCTTTGACCAGTAAGTAACTATGGTCAGTAAGTATCTATAACCAGTAAGTATGTATGATCAGTTCCTAACTTTAAACACTTGTAAACAATGACTTGCAACTTTTGTAACACAACACATATCTGGGACTTGGCTGGCAGAAGTCACTTCGTTCCGCGGCTGTTAGAACCAGTTGGGAATCATAGTTTTTGGAACAAACTTAAGAGCAAGCTATTTGAATGAAACTATTGAGTTGCTCCTCTATATAATTTAACTAGTATATAAATCGGAGCATTGCGAATCGGTGGACTATTTATATATATATATATAGCTGCTATAGGAACGATAGAGGATCAGTAAGTATCTTTTAACAGCAAGTTACTATGAACATTAAGTGACTATGATCAATTATTAACTACAATAAGTAATTAACCCTGAACAGAAAGTATCTATGACCTGTAAGTAACTATAGTCAGGAATTAATTTTGAACAGAAAGTATCTTTGACCAGTAAGTAACATTAATCAGAAATTAACTCTGAACAGAAAGTATCTATGACCTGTAAGTAACTATAATCAGGAATTAATTTTGAACAGAAAGTATCTTTGACCAGTAAGTAACTATAATCAGGAATTAATTTTGAACAGAAAAAATCTTTGACCAGTAAGTAACTATGGTCAGTAAGTATCTATAACCAGTAAGTATGTATGATCAGTTCCTAACTTTAAACACTTGTAAACAATGACTTGCAACTTTTGTAACACAACACATATCTGGGACTTGGCTGGCAGAAGTCACTTCGTTCCGCGGCTGTTAGAACCAGTTGGGAATCATAGTTTTTGGAACAAACTTAAGAGCAAGCTATTTGAATGAAACTATTGAGTTGCTCCTCTATATAATTTAACTAGTATATAAATCGGAGCATTGCGAATCGGTGGACTACTTATATTTATATATATATAGCTGCTATAGGAACGATAGAGGATCAGTAAGTATCTTTTAACAGTAAGTTACTATGAACATTAAGTGACTATGATCAATTATTAACTACAATAAGTAATTAACCCTGAACAGAAAGTATCTATGACCTGTAAGTAACTATAGTCAGGAATTAATTTTGAACAGAAAGTATCTTTGACCAGTAAGTAACTATGGTCAGTAAGTATCTATAACCAGTAAGTATGTATGATCAGTTCCTAACTTTAAACACTTGTAAACAATGACTTGCAACTTTTGTAACACAACACATATCTGGGACTTGGCTGGCAGAAGTCACTTCGTTCCGCGGCTGTTAGAACCAGTTGGGAATCATAGTTTTTGGAACAAACTTAAGAGCAAGCTATTTGAATGAAGCTATCGAGTTAGTCCACTATATAATTTTATTAGTATATAAATCGGAGCATGGCGAATCGGTGGACTATTTATATATATATGCATATATATATATACATATATAGCTGCTATAGGAACGATAGAGGATCAGTAAGTATCTTTCAACAGCAAGTTACTATGAACATTAAGTGACTATGATCAATAATTAACTATAATCAGATAATTCACTCTGAGCAGTAAGTATCTACTGCCAGTAAGTAGCTATAATCAGTAATTACCTCTGAACAGAAAGTATCTATGACCAGTAAGTAACTATAATCAGTAATTTACTCTGAACAGAAAGTATCTATGACCAGTAAGTAACTATAATCAGTTATTAACTCTGAACAGAAAGTATCTATGACCAGTTCCGAACTTTAACCACTTGTAAACAATGAGTTGCAACTGTTTTTAACATAAATATATAGAATTCATATTGTAGTTAATTCTTAGTGATCGAATTTAAATCTGCAAGGGTATAAAAACGTCGGCGTGCCGAAATTAGCTTTCTTTCTACTTTTAATTTATAATATCAATATTTCCCAATTAATGTATGCATATATAACATATGTATGTGCATCCCTAGCACAGGGTATCTCACAGTGGCCTGTAGCTTTATCACTGATATAGAATTTTCTAAAATTTAATATTTTACGGACGTTTTATGAAAATTGGAGTAATAAGCATTATAGGTATTATACAATAAGTCTGTGAGCTTTTCAATATCTCACTCTGATCAACTAAATCTATTATAAAATCTTTTCTTTGATATTCTTTGATACATCGGACCAACACAATCGGATAAAGAGACAAATGATATATTAACTATTAATTCATTTTTAATAGGAAAGAAATGGACGCTATACTGTTGTGAATATATAATATTAATCTTTTTCATTTGATATATGTAACATACGTACATCCCTAGTACAAGGTAAGTATCTCACAGTGGCCTGTAGCTTTATCACTAGTTTTTGTGTTTTAGTATCAAAATATTATTACCTAAAATTCGCATGACTATTATTTAAAATTTTAACAAGATAATCCAGAGTAACAACACTAAAGTATTATTAAATGTTTCTTAAATGCAGAAACCCAAAGGGGCTATTAACTCATCAACAAAATGATTCATTTCTATATAAATTGTTTTTAGGTATAACAAAATGTTAACTATGAAAATGAGGCTTTAGCCTTATTTATAAATATGTGAAAATAATTTTTGGTAGGCAATAACTTTACAACTTTACAAGAAAGGAATTTTATTAAATAATTAAGAGGAATAAAAAATGCAATGACAAAACCACAACGGGTTATGTGGCACCCCTGAATGTTTCAATAATAAATCATTTAATAATGAAATTATAGAATAATAAAAATAATATAAAATAAAATCCAAATACCTAGGACTTCGCCTCCGACTCCGATTCCATTAGGCTGGCCAGCTCCTCTTGGATGCTCTTCCAGGCAAACTCCATGCGACCTTCTTCCAATTTTAGGCGACATCTGTCCGGGATGTGCTGAAATAGCCGACGGAAGGGACCATATTGCTCCAGACACTGAATATCACCAAGAAGGATTAGTTTGTTTTTGGCTCGAGTGATGGCCACAGTCAGGCGACGCTGATCTTCCAGGATCTCTGACTCCCGACTTCTTTCCATATCGGAGCAGGAGTCCCTGCCCGTCTTGGAGCAGCTGTACACAATTAGGTTCTTATCTCGGCCCTGGAATTGATCCACAGTGTTGCACTCGATGTGGGAGTCAAGTTGAGAGGCCAGTTTCTTGAGGAGCTCCACCTGAGCCCGGTAAGGAGCAATCACACCAATCCTGGATGCCTCAAAGCCGGACTTAAGTAGGTGCCTGAGCATGTGCATCACGATGCCTGCTTCGCAGTAGTTTGTGTACTTGGATATTCTCTTTTTCGATGTGCTCTTCTGAGAATTCTCATCCCCTGGCTCTCCGTAACTTTGTTCTATGGAGGTACAGGTCTCTCCTAGTCTTTGGGATGCCTGAGCCAGCTCCTGGCAGCGCTCAATGCAATCTCCGGTGTTTATCAAGGTTACCGCCTGCTCCAAGTGGCTTTGCAGAGCCCGTTGCACCCAGCGTGGCGTTTGGGTGAGCGTCTTTACTTGAAAACCGGCTCCGGACACTTCCTCAGAGGCACACTGCAGAGCTCCACCGTAGGTAAGCTCATTGGCCAGCCGTGTGATAGTCCTATTCATTCGGTACTGCAGGCTTAGCACAGCGGTGGCCTCTTCCGAGTCAAGTCTTTGGAACAGGGTCTCGTCTGCTCCTCTTTGACGTGCCTCCTTGGATCTGATGACCGGTGGCAGCTGCTCGGGATCTCCCACGAGTACGAACTTGCTGCAATGGATCAATGGGCGCAGCACGGTGGGCTGCATCACTTGCGTGGCCTCATCCACAATGCAGTAGTCGAAGTGGCGGTGCTGGAAGAGCGGATGTCCAGCTCCTAGACAGGTCACACCAACAATAGATGGCTGTTCCAGGGTTTTCTGCAACTCCTCAGCGGTAGAACAATCTTTAGTGAGTGAAGCCTCGCTGATATTTTCCAGCTCGGGATGGATTCTGGAACTGGAGCCCAATCTCAGCATGGGCAACTCGAAGGGCAGAAGACGCAGGAGCAGGTTGTCCACCGCCGAATGGGTTTGCGCCGTGATCAGCACGCTCTTTCCTAGCAAATGGAGCAGTCTTACGAGGGACACCAAGGTCTGGGTCTTTCCAGTGCCGGGCAATCCTTTGATAAGCAGATGACTACTGGTAGTTAGAGCCCTCAGGGCGGCCGCCTTTTGCACTGTATTCAGCTGCAACAGCATCGACGCTCCCTTGCTCAGAATGATCCGAGGCAGTACCTTGTGCTGTTCGGGGGGCTTCCGAGCCACTATGATATCCCTCAGCTCTTGGAAGCGCTCGCCCTCGGAGAGCAAAAGTCCCAGATTCGTGTAATTAAAGGTGGCAAAGTTCTGCGATTCGTGTTTGTCCATTACGAAGGATTCCTGAGCATACCGCTGACTAAGATCGCGTTCCAGACGAAGCTCCAGGTGTCGACTGGCCAGGGAAACTATAAAACCCGATGCGATGGCCAAGCGGGAACTGGAACTGATCACAACGTACTCGCCCAAATCGAACTGAAAGAGGGAAGAGATTTAAATTTGTAAATTAGCTATAATAAGTTATTACTCACCCCGCTAAGACTCAGGTCCAAGCCAGCATCCGCGTCTGCAGCTAGCTCCAGGCTCTGGCGATAGCGTCCCTCTTCTGGTACAACCTTTTGCCCCTTAACCAGCTGCAGTTGACCAATGGCTCGACCCTGCTTCTGACGCTTTAGAGGATCCTCTGTCCACAGGGCTCGTAGCTGAGAGGACTGGCGATTGTGCTGCTCCTCCAGTGCCAGCAGTCCGCACCAATGCTGCACGTAGGCCTGATCCTGCTCCTTGAGGTGTCCCAGCAGCTGTGGCATGAGTTTCTTCAGCGGATGCGATTCACTAAGCTCCAGTTCAGAATCTCGCTGAGCAAAGCTCGAACATATGGTGTTGTAGGCACAGTTGCCGCAGGCGCTGTGATGGTAAATTGGTTCCGGCAGCTCTAGCTGCTCAAGGGGATCCTCCTTGCCGGGCGGTATGGCCACTTCTCTAGTCAGCCAGTGGGCCAGATCGTTGCGCAGGAGCACGAGGTCCCTCTGTTCGTTTCGGCCACTGGGCACTTCGCGCAGTATGCCCTCACGGAGGTACAGCAGCAGACCCGACCTGGTGTCCCGGCCCTGGGCAGAGTGCATTAGTTGGTAGAGCAGCAGCTGACCCTTGTGCTCCATGGAGAAGCTGGCTCTGCCTGTCTTAAGCTCTAGCGGAATGACTTCCTCCTTTCGTAGGGGATTTCGCACTCGCACTGAGACATCCACCTTGCCTTTGAGGCCTAGCTGGGGCACCCACAGGTTCTCCTCAATGTCGCGTATCTCTTCGATGCGTCCACGATAAAGATCCGGCGGCAAGACAGCCGGTTCCTTGCCCTTTACATACTGTGCCACAAAACTGACTATGGGATCCACGAACTTGAGCAGCTGCATCTCCATATCCGACTGGCTGAGACTGCTCGCGTAGAGCAGCTGGGCCAGGGAGGAGCTGGCCAGCATCTCCGCGAGAGCGGACTGGATGTCTTCTCGACTTGAGAGCTTCTGCAAGAGCACCTTTTGCAGCAGTTCATGCACCAGGGTGCCGATTACCATCTAAAAAAGCGTGGAAATTAGTTGGTATTACTCTTGTGTGCTTGAAGGCACTTACGATGGAGCTGCCCGAGTCCAGACCACGAAAACGTTCCTGCAGCACCGCCTTCCGTCGGCAGAACAATGAACCCGTGACTGTGGTGCCAGATATGAGAAGATCCGGATGAGAGACGCAGTAGCCCTGCTCCTTGTCCACCGCATAGCTGCCCAGGGATGGCTGCCACTTGGCCAGCAAAGAGACGGTGTCGCCCACTTGCACGCGCATGTGATTCCAGGGCGCCTGCAGCAGGCAAATGGCCGTGTCTGGATCCCCGTCGGTGAGGCGCTTCACCTGCAACCGGAGCTCCTGGCTCTTGGGCACCGGCTCCACCACCTCCACCTGGCATCGCTGCCACTGGCTAAGATCGAGTCTGTGGCTTGCCGTCGACTCCATGGCACCTAGCGCCAAATCAAAGTCCGCATCGTCGCCCCAATCGATGTTCTCCAAATCGTCGTCGTCTGCCGGCAACTCCAACTTCTGCTTGAATTTCTTGCTTTGCGGGGAGTTTCCAGCTTCTTGTGTATTGTCGGGTCCATTTTCCGCTTTGCTGGGTGTTAACACACGCTTGGTGGCCATCGAAATGAGGGTAATTGGTTAAACAGTAAAAAAAAATAAACTAACTGTAAATAAAGTATTTTTATCTATAGCTCCAACTAAATTTTGGCGCAAATAGTAAGACCAGTTGTGGCGAAGGAAAGAATGCCGGCAATCTAGCAAGCAGTGCGTGAGCAGCAGCTGCTTAGAGATGGGCAACTTTAGCCTGAATTATTTAATGCGTTTGTGATCCTAATTGTTTATTATTATTTATTTTGTTAGTTAAAACATTTAATATTTTTGTGTAAAAAATAGTGATCAAACTGATTTTTAAACGCACTATGAATAATAAACGAGTAAATAGCTTTGGGATGTTTTCAATACGGAAATTTACATTACTTATATATATATATATATATATAAGCTAATTTATTGCGCTAAATATTAAATCAAAATTGTTGTACACTTTAATGCATACAAATTTTAAATATCGAATAGCATTACATTCTTTATGAAGTCGATATTTTCTGCCATCTCTTCTTCTTATTTTTATTTCAACAAGCAGTAGATTCCAGCTATACTTTTAAAGCAGTGCACTGCTTTGTATTTGAAGTTGGCATAATTAACACTAGATGGCGCTGCTTGATGGGCGCTTGATTTAAAAATTACTTGCTACAAAATGCAATAAATACGACATAAATCTAATTAAATTATATACGTGAAAGAAATTTCACTTGGTTTTTAGACAAAATGTACAGATGCTAATACGCCTGGCGGGTCCTTCGCTTTCGTATTTATGCAGCAGACAGGGCTGACCATCGGTTCCTTTTTAATTTTTAAGGAAGAAATAAGTAAAATATTGTTAGTTTTTAAGATTTTGTGAATAATATTGAATAAAAACTCACCTGTTTGCAGAGTGCTGTTTAGGTGGGTGATATAGCTGCCAGCCAGGCGAATAATCTCGATCTTGGACAGTTTACGATTCATGGGTTCGGTGGGAATCAAATTGCGTAGAGCTTCGTAGGCGGCATTTACACTGGGATATATAAAGGGTTAAGAGTGTTAATTATAATATTTTTAAGCTTTTAATTAACTCTCATTTCAAATAATTAATAACAGTAATTCGGCACTCACTTGAATGTCCTGTAGCGTTCCCTGGCATTGATCTTCTGCCGCGGCGGTCGTTTCCTTTTGCCCGAAGGACTACTCCCTTGACTCCCCTGACCGCCCACCTGAGAGTCCTCGGAATCGGCTGCTGCTCCACTACCGCAGCTTGCACTGCCACCGCTGCTGTTGCTATCGTGGGCATAGCTTGCCAGGATATAGTTGGCTGTCGATGAGGATGAGGTCGCCATCCGTTGGCCGCAACGATCGCCGATCGAATGAGCTAACGAGATGTTTCTCCTCCGGCCTGCGCTTCGCTGCTCTGCCCGGCACACTGCTAAATGAATTAAGTCATCGCCAAGTGACGACAAATTGTGCGTGAAGATGGGAAACTGCCTGTGCGCACTTGTCAAAACAAAGAGAGCTGCTGGTGAATTCTTCATTCTCGGGCGGACAGGGACGGGCACTTGTGCAATACTAATTGTGCATCAAGGGCCTGAAAAAAAAAAACCAAGGATAAGTGCTAGACTCTGCTCGTCCATTCGGTGATTTGTTGGGCCAATTTGTATGTTTGTTTTTGTTTTGAGGGCAAAAACGGAAGTGGCACTTAGTCCTCGCCCCTGACCTTACCCTGTGTGACCCGGCGGCACCCCTGCCCCTGGACCGCACACATGCCGCGCATGCGTTCATTCGTGCATTCCCTCAATCACACAGTCAGTCAGTCAGTCATTCAGTCAGTCAGTCATTCAGTCAGTCAGTCATTATTTCACTTGCCCGGCCGTGCAACGCATTTTCTGTGCGGAATGCTCGACGAGATGGATAATCCAGATATTTTTAAAGCGAGCCAAAGGAGGGGGTGTACACTCGCCTGGAAATTTTTACAACTTACTTACTTATTTGCAAATAGTTTTTAATTGCCCAGAAACATTTCGAATCCAAATAGCTTGCGAATATTTTGCAATCACTCGGGAATATGCGTGCAGTTATTTATTTATTAAACATTAATTATGTGGCATGAATGTTTCGACATTTATTTAAGCAATTTACTTATTCGATTCGTAATTCATACAAAATATGAAGGCACATGTTTTTGATAAAGAAAATTGCAATTAAGTGGCAAAGAAATTGACACAAATATATAATAATAAAATGTGGGAAGAGTATGAAAATAATATTAAATTAATCTTTTAAAGCTGCATTTAAATAAGGGATGTCAGGAGATATCAAAAAATCGAGACTGTTATTCGAAGTGAAAATTATTAATTGTTTAAATTAATTAAATCGATATGTCTGAGATAAATCGGTATCATAATGTGATACATAAAAGAATTCACATTAATTGGAAAACGAGACAAATATTTAATATAATAATATTTTTGATATTTTACAATGTGTTATATATAGAATTTAGAATTTCGTTATCAGTTTAATGGAAATCGGAATACTATATAATATAACAGCCAGAGAAACGGTTGTTAAATGTAGAGCATCTGTAATTATCTTTCAACAGTAAGTTAATATGAGCAGTAAGTAACTATGATCAGTAATTAACTCTGATCAGTTACTAACTTTAAACACTTGTAAACAATGACTTGCAACTTTTGTAACACATCATATATCTGGGACTTGGCTGGCAGAAGTCACTTCGTTCTGGGGATGTTAGAACCAGTTGGGAATCATAAGTCACATGTGTGAGATTTGTTTTGGAACAAATTTAAGAGCAAGCTTTAGATTCGAACAATGGATTATGGAACTATATAATTTTACTAGTATTTAAATCGGAGCATAGCGAATCGGTGGACTCCTATGACAGCTATATATATATATATATATATATATATATGTATATATATATATATATGTATATATATATATATATCGCTCCTATGACAGCTATATATATATATATATATATATATATATATATATATATATATATATATATCGTTCCTATGACAGCTATATATATATATATTTTGGAAAATTTTAAGAAAAAACATAACTTTTGCAGTTTCCAACAGATTTTCATAAAATTTTAGATATAGCCATTATATATTAATCTAGAAATTTTATAAAAATATGACTACTATATCATATAGGTGCCATACAAATAATCGTTAAAAATAGAGGAAAATGCAAAACAGTGAAAGTAAAACTGAAATATAAAATGTTAGGGTGAATGAAATTGTATCAGGCATTACTTCATTGCTTTTTTTTTATACCCTTGCAGGGTATTATAATTGCAGTCAGATGTTTGCAACGCAGTGAAGGAGGCACCTCCGACTATATAAAGTATATATATTCTTGATCAGGATCAACAGCCGAGTCGATCTAGCCATGTCCGTCTGTCCGTCTGTCCTTCTGTCCGTCTGTCCGTCTGTCCGTTTCTACGCAAACTAGTCTCTCAGTTTTGAAGCTATCTGAATGAAACTTTGTAGTTAACTTTCTATATACTCTCACTCGTATATATGTCGGAGCGGGCCGGATCGGACCACTATATCATATAGCTGCCATAGGAATGATCGGAAAATTTTTAACTTTTTCAGTTTTCAATAGAATTGGATCAAATTTGAGATATAGCCATTTTACTATACTCTACAATTTTGCATAAAATTTTATGAAAATCGGACTACTATATCATATACATAGCTCCCCCATAGGAACGATCGAGAAATTAATACAATTAAAAATTAAATCTTTTTCAGTTTTCAACAGATTTCAAATTTGAGGTATATCCATATTATATTAGTCTTAAATTTGGTGTCAAATTTCATGAAAATCGGACGACTATATCATATAGGTGCCATACAAACGATCGTTTGATGTAGAGGAAAAATGCAAATCTTTGAATGTAAAACTGCAAATATAATATGTATAGGTGAATACAACGAAAGCAGGTATTACTTCATTGTTTTTTAACACAAATATATATCATTTATATTGTATGGTTTTTTATTCATAGAAGTTCTATCTGCAAGGGTATATAAACTTCGGCGTGCCGAAGTTAGCTTCCTTTCTTGTTTTTAAACATAAATAATGTATAATTTACATTGTATTAATTCCTAGTGATCGAATTTCAATCTGCGAGGGTATATAAAATTCGAAGTCGAAGTTAGATTCCTTTCTTCTTTGATTTATTATACAGAAGTTTTTACTCGATATTCGAGGTCTATACAATTTCCATACCATTTTTATTTTTCCAAAAAGAAAATAAATTTATAAAAAATGCCACATTAAAATTAAAAATGATTTTGCTTTTATTTTTATACACATTTTGTCGAAAGTTTCACTTAGCTAGGCTAGAAAAAAATCATCATAGTGAGAAAAACACAATACGCTTAGGTGTAGGAGGGAGTGAGGGAGTTACAAACAAAAATCCAGATGGGGGCACGGAAAGGTCGAACAAGTATGGATCTCTATATATATTAATATATATATATAGATATATTTGTATATATAATTGGTATTAAATTGAGTATACTTCAGTGTCAAATGTGTGGGTGTATCTTTATGGGGGGCTCTGTGACCAACAACAGCAATGTATTAATAAACAAAAAAAAAAAGATATTAAGCTCGTTTACATTTCTTCTAAATAGAAACTTGGCGTGTGTTCTTCATCATCATCATCTCTGCATTATTTCTCATCTTCTTCGTATCGTTTTCGTTTAAAATAATTAAAAATAATAGTAAATAAAACACCACAGTCATGATTTTTTAATAGAACACAAAATATACACAAAAAAAGGGAGTAGTAGAATAATGGGAAAATATCAGGAAAAGTGGTGAGGAAAATTGCAAATAGCAAATTATTTACAAAAGCCAAGATATAGGCAATAGAGAGATATAGAGATATCATAGAGGGGCGTAAGGGATATAAGGCGTTTCTATTCTTCCATACTTTATACATAATTATGTTGTTCTCTCCAAACATTTGTTGTATTTATATATTCTTTTGTGATGATTTTCGAGATTTATTGATATATAAATAAAATTCTTTGACTGATTCTCAGCACTTCATTTTTTTTTTCCTTGTAAATTTTGCTTACAATTTTATGTTATGTTTTTTGTTTTGTTTGTCTTAACTAAACACTTTTGTGTTAAAAAAATTTGCTAAAAAATTTGAGAAAAAAAATGTTGACATTGCCAGGAAATTTTCTTTGATCGAATGATGCACAACACAATTGTCTCCGTGTGGGTGAGTGGGTTGTGGGTGGTGTGGGTTGTGGGTGGTGTGTGTGTGTGTGTATGGGGGGTGTAAGGAACAGAGACAGAGGCGGGGTTGGAGCGTAAGAGAAGGGGAAAGATCTGCTGCATTTGACTCTGTACAGTTTGAGTGACTTGACTAATTCGGGCGAGGACATGGCCATGCCGACCCCTGACCTGACCTTAGATCAGCGCCGTTATCAGCTTGGCCTTGAAGTTCACAAACTTCTCGCTGGTGGCCGCAACGCGCTAGAAAAGAAACAAATTATCAAAAGTTTTTCCACATCTTCAAGTTGTTTATCCTTACCAGTATCAAGTCCTGGACCAGATTGGCCAGGCCGCGATTGGCCAGCACCACGAGACGCGTCACTGGGCCGGGAATGCCCTCGGTGTAGCCATCAGCCGTGCGAGTGCTGTCCGTCTCCGCATCACCATCGCCGCCCAGGCTGCCGCTGGTGCTGCTGGCTCCTCCGCCCACAGAGTTGGCCGCCTCATCGCCCTGCTGGGTCTGCACGCTGCCCGAGAAGAGCTGCAATCCAAAGTGACACCATAAGTGACCAGGAGAGAGAGAAACCTAAATCGTGACTGGTGCACTCACCCGAACCACGTCCAGCAGGAAGTTGCCAGAGCCGCCAGCTCCGAGGGCATTGCCGCTGGGTGAGCCGCCGGCACCACCGCCGCTGGAGCCACCGGCCAGACCCGCTCCGCCAAAGTTGAGGAACCTTTTGAACAGATTACTATTGGTTGTTTTTCCATTCCAAGGAAGTCGAGTGTTTGTTGTTGAGTTTTGTGGTTTGATTCGTTGTTGAGTTTTGTGGTTGCATTTGTTGTTGAATTTGTATATTTTTTGGTTTATTTGTTTCAGGTTTTAAGTTTATTATGATTATGATTATATGGTTTATATTGTATTTGATTTTTATTGTTAAGAATTTTGGTGTTTAATTATTGATGAGTTTTTTAAAATTATTGTAGAGTTGTTGTAGCATTGTTGTTGAATTGTTGTAGGGGTGAAAAGGGAAGGAAAGTGTACAATTAGTGGAGTGTTTTTGAAGCTGTTTTATGATGGTTATTATTACCAACTCCGGAGGAATCGTTGGTGTATGAGAACCAGGTGTTACCCCACTTACCTCTTGTTGCGGTCATCCAGCTCAGCGGTCTCCTCCGCCGAGTCGAGGGTCAGCTCATCAATGGCCGGTGACTTGGACTCCGACAGTTGCAGATCGTTTGTGCTCAGGGTCTTCACATCACTGACTGGCACTCCGGTAGAGACGCTGGGGAGTTCGTTGTTGAAACTCAACTGGATGGGTTCGTTGGACTTCAAGGGAATTGGCGCCTGGGCGATGGGTGACGAGGAGGATGACTGGGATTGGGTTTGGGCGGCCACTGCGGCGGCAGCTGCCTCTGCCTCCTTCACTTGTCTGGCCACTCGGATCGTCTCCTCCAACTGTTTGTTAATGGCGGACAAATCGATCTGGGTATCGCTGGCTCCATTCTATATATTTATTTTTTTTGGTTTGCATTTCGCATTTTGCGTTTGGTGGGGTTTTTGTTTTTGTGGGATTTTGTCATTGGTTTGCAATATTTGTTGTTTTGTATTGTTGGGCATTTGTTGCATTGGTTTTTTTTTATTGTGGAAATTTCGAATTTTGGGGTGTTGATTATGTGTTATTCAGGGAGGGAAGGAGGTAAAGGTTGGAGGGAAAGGGGTTGTAGGGAGCAGGTGGTTTTTGTTTGTGGGAAAGTGGAAAGCCAAGGTCAAAGCGGTAAGGGTAAAGGGAAAAGTCAAAGCGCAGGATTTGGCGAAGTGTAATTTTGTGTATTGTGTGTGTGTTCGTGGTGTGTGCGTTTTCGTATTTAGTTTTTTCCAGTGTACGAGTGTGTGGTGAGTTCAATTATGTCATCGTTGTAAAGTTAGGGTGAATGTGAGGTTAAGTGGAGAAAGGAGTTACGGTTAGTGGTGGAGTTATCGAGATTTTGCACAGGCGATTTGGGTCGATTGTTGTGTCGATCGATTTGGTTTTTTGATTTCGATTTCGATTGATTGATTGATTAATGGACAGTCACAAAATGCACGTGCACAAATATATATGCATTCAATGTATTTTTGTATACATTTGCGGTCAGTTATCGGTTATCAGTTATCGGTGGAGCGTTGTTCGGTTTTGATTGATTTGATTTGATTGTTTTGGTGGTGAGTTATTTGCATTGCACAAATCGAATCGGGTTTTAATGGAACATGGAAATAAAGAGAAAAAGATACAAAAATAAGCAAAAGAGAAAAACAAAAGGAGCGCGATAGCAGGGAATACAGAAATAGAGAGAGAGAGAGAGAGAAAAACAGAGGAGCGCTAAGTCTATAAAATCATCAATATACAAAGCAAAGGCTTTTTCACACCTCGGTGTATCGAGTATATCGTGATACTTGTATATCGATCGATATAGTTATTTACAATCGGAAAAGCCTTTGAACTGTTACTGGGTACTGGGGTGGCAATATAAAAATCTCTTTCTCGGATTGAAACCTTGTCAACTCTTTTGTTTTTGCTTCTTTATTCTGCGGCGGGCGGAAGAGCGAATTCGGCGAAAATGAGTGCGGAAATGAGTACACTGAATATTTGAATATTTTTCTTGGGATGAGAGAGAGAGAGAGCAGAGATTGTTGGCGATGTGAATGCACTCGTGAGTGTGGTGAGTGTACAGCCTTGGCGAGTGAGTGACTCGCTTGAAACCGAATGAGCTTTATGATTTTCTTGTGTGCTCGCTGTCTGGACACCAAGAGTGTTTTTGCGAATTTTTTTGGGACTATGGAGAGGCTTCCAAGACTTCAAAACTCATCGCCGGTGTCCAGAAGTTGGCAATGAAGTATTTATAATGATATATACAGAAATACATCATTTATTGACAACTTCTAGACTAAGAAAGAGTGTTTTGAAATCTCAAAAATCCTTTGCGAATACATCCCCACTTAAACGGGCTTGAGCAAAAAGTCATAGGGGGGAATAAACATTATTTCGGTATATTTGGAAATGTATTAAAAAATGTCTTACGCAACTAATACAATATAAATGTAAAATATATATATTTATTTATTTTGTAAAAAACACCTACTAGCCTATGTGGATATGAGGGTGCGCATGAGGGAGAGCAGGATAGATATACACAGGGAAATGGAAATGGAGAGATTTACAAGAAAAGTTCTGAGAAAAGGCTGTTTAGAAATGACAAGAAGAGGGAAAGGAGAAAGGAGAAAGGAGGGGAGAGAGTAGAGCGAAAAGAGCAAAGGGTGTACAAACAGAAGAAGAATATAAAATAAAGAGACAGATAGATGGTGATCTTGTGTATGTGTGCTGAAAACCAGTGTGCTAAAGGTAATTTCAAATCAATCAAGTGTTGGTTAACAATGCCAATTCAATGAGAACTTCACTTTCATTTCAATTCGTGTTCCTTTAATTTTGTTCAATTTCAATTTCTGAAGAGTGCAGTTGGGTGGTTGTTGTTGCTGTTGCTGTAGTGCTGCGCGAAGAAATTTTGAGGGAAAGAGAAACCAATTTAAATGCCAATTCAACATAATTTCTTTACAGAGAGAAGTGTGCTAAAGTATCATCTCTTGATATTTTTTCACGAATTTCTGTTAAACTTTGTCACATTTTCAGCGATCTCATAGTGAATATGAGAGTGCAAAATCTGACAAATATCAACTGATATTGATGTGAAAAATCACCAATCGATGATACATTTTGACGGTATGCCATCTCTGTGTCACAGTTGTTGTAGCAAATGAAACGCACTTTTGTGACCGATGCACCGATAATCTTAAGCAGATTCGGTGGTGGAAGTGGTGCTTGAGCTGCTGCTGCTGCTCTTGTCCGCCGTATCGATCTCGTTCTCATCATCGGGCTCAAAGGTGGGCAGCTCGATGGTCACCCGGGTGCCACTGTCCCCGGAGGTGGTGGTCGTGGTGCTGCCAGAGGAGGAGCTGCTGCTCTTGGAGCTATCATCATCGTCGTCATCGAAGTCGGCATCGAAACTGGTCCTGGCCGCATTCGCACTATTACCCTGAATGGCGGTACGCAGGACAGTGGGTCCCAGGGTCCTTAGCAGCTTCGAGATGATGCGATTTGCCTGCTCATCGATTTGCTACAACAACCACGAGTCGAGTTTCGAATTTGGATTCAGTTTTCGTGACCCGGTGGGTTTGTGGTGTATGCGTGCATATTTTGAATTTTTTTTTTGGGATTAGGAGGGAGATTAGTTAGCATCAGAGTGTTTTCGGTTCGGTTACATACGAATACGATGGGGTCGAGGGTAGGGAGAGAACTCTCATCGGGGGAAGGAACTACTGGGTCGGGCCTTACGGGGGTCGCATTTGAGGATGATGTTCAATGATGATATTTATACATGTGGAGAAGAGCGTTTCAGAGGTGGTTCAAACATGATTCAACAATGTTTCAACAACGGTTCAACAATGAGGCTTTTGTAAGTTTTTTCTTTAGAAAAACAAAAATTCAATCTGTAAACCATATGATGGATACATCGCGTAAACAATTGAAGTTAAATAATTTTTCTGTAGCTTTTAAATAATGTAATGGAATTTTTTCACTTTTGAACCACCTATTGTTGTTGAGTTAAATGTTGAGCGAATATAGCTCGTAACTACACGAAAATGCGTTTTTTTCTAAATGTGATATGATGCTGATGAGGCTCTCATCTTCTTCTTCTTCATCTTGATCCTTGTGTGGTTGTTCTTGTTGTTGTTGTTGTTCTGGTTGTTGTTGTTGTGATGTTGCTTTCAAATCCTTAAGCCTTTTCTCGTTTTTTGTGAGTGTTTTAGTTTTTTTTTAGTTCTTTTCTGTTTTTTTTTTTCAATCAAAGACGGGCAATAATTTCGTAATGTTGTTGTTGTCAATTGTGGTGGCCCCTGTTGTTGTTGTTGATGTTGTTATATTGTCTCTGGTTGTAATAAAATAATTGGTAGAATTTAATAAACGATTTATATCAGCTATGATGGTTAGCAATTGTGGTTCTTCGATGCTGTTGTTGGTGGGAAACTGGATGGTAGTCGAGGTGGTTTTGGTGGTTGTGGTGGTGGTGGTGGTGGGTTCTGTTGGGGTGGTTCGGTGGTAGTGGTGCTAGTAGTAGTCGTGCTTATTGCTGGCGTTGTTGTACTAGTTGTCGTAGTTGTTGTTGTAGTACTAGTTGTTGGTGGATCAGCAACTGTCACCGGCTCCAGGGAGCGCGGCAACAACTGCACAAACGGATCCAGCAGATCCGTCAGATCACCAACGCCATCGCTGGATGTTGTTGGATTACTGGGACTGGGACTGGTACTTGTTGGGATTGATGATTGGATTGCTGACTGAGTGGTGGTGGTGGTGGTGGTGGTTATCAGTGGGCTATCGTCACCTTTCGATGCTGCTCCTGATTCCGGTGCAAATGTGGGCAGATCAATCTTTACCCTCGAGCTTCCTTCCACCTCATTGCTGGCCACACTTCCTGGCGGAGATCCCGAGCTGCGAGCAACACCGGTTGCCGGCGGACTGCTGGATGAGGACGGCGACACATCATCATCCTCGTCAAAGTCCGCATCGAAGTCGGCATCAAAGTCGGAGGCCGGTGTGGTGCTACGACCACCGCCTCCTGCAGCACCACCGCGATTCCCCGCCAATATACTATTCAGCACACCCGGACCGGCCACACGAATCACCTGGGCTATAATTCGATTGACTATCGAGTCGATTTCCTATGCGAGAGATCAGCGAGAGGTCAACAGAAAATATGATTTGACTTTAAATGGGTTCTTTGGTTCTGGTGATTTTTTGATTTTGATTTTGATACTTTTGGTGCGCTTTCCTTATGAGATGCTGATGCTGTTGTTGATTTTTGATATATTTTGATTTGGTTTTCAAGTCGATTGGTGACTGTTCTTGGCCAATTTTCGGGGCTGAAAACTCAATGTTTTTGTTTTCTTATAATTTGATGATGATTTCAGCCAATGTTATACATAACTTTTGATCCAGGTGTTGATGACTGTTCTTGTGATGATAGTTTCTTCGGTAACTCTTTTGATTCGATGATTTCTTTTTTCAAAAATTTGGGCTGAAACTCAATGGCTTGGCGTGTGTGTGTCCTATATACTCGTGTCTATGTTTTGTGTGCTGATGGTTTTGGTATTGGTGTTCTGGTGGTGGTTCAACCTCTGCCACCTGGGTGGTGCTGGCATGCTAAAAGGTGGTTTGAGAGTGCTCTGGCTAAGTCTACGAGAAAAAACATGCAACATTTCGGATGGGGTCGGGGTTGGGAACAACAAATAAACCGATCTGGGCGAGGGGTAAATTGGTTTGGCCAATATTATTGGGGGGAAGGAAGAAGCCTTAAGCTATTTTTGGGTGAGGAGAGAAATCTCTGCGATATCAGCGCTCCTTGAATTCGCTGTCGGGCTGGAATTGTGTCAGATCCTCGTCAGGGCTATCGTAGTCCTTGGAGCCCTCTTTATTGCCATCTTTATCGTCACCATCATCATCATCATCATTATCATCGTTTGTTGGCTGGCGGGGATGGAGACCCCGATCGAAGGTCGGATTAAGAACCGTGCCCAGAACCACGGGCCCAACGCGTTGCAATACATTATTCACTATCCGATTGATCTGCACATTGATCTCCTGATGAGGAGGAGGAAAACATTTCGCAAGGCGGCGCCATGTTCAATAACACTATCATTTAATGTGATCGAAGTCAGGGGTCTCTATATACAATATGTTTTCTTGGGGACCTAACCCTGGGCTATAAACTTGTATTACAAGGGCGCAGACAGAAATAAAGGCAGAAATATATATATATAGAGAGAGAGAGGGGCTTGGGGACGCTAATGGTTCATGTTCTATATATATACTAATATATATATTTGTTAAGATGGAGCCATACCTTGGTGATGTCGGGAAACAGTTCGCGCAGCAGTCCAATTGTTCGCTTATTGCGATCGGCTATCATTTGCTCCTGATCCTTGGCGCCCAACGTCAGGACATCGATTTCCTGAAAGAGAAAAGAAGATATTTTCAAGTTAAATAAAATAAATAAACTATTAAAAGGAAAATAAGAAACTTTAAATTACTTTAAATATTGTGTCTAATAAACTAAAACCCTTTTAGATTTTTATTTCACCTTAAACATATCCCATTTCTATTTCTTTAATTGGCAAGTCTATCTCCCAATTATTTATACTTATAATTTCCATTTTTAACTATGTTTAATATAAACAATTTCATAAAGAATCTAATCATTATTTCTGCTACTTTGTCAAACAGTAAACCATAAAAACTAGTTAACAAATTGTTGGTGTCCACATAAAACAATCTAAATAAACCTGATTCATCTCAATTTAAGTGGTATCATCATTAGAATATTACTTTGTGTTTTTTATTTTGCATTAAACAAAAAATCCCCTCTTAAATCTTTATTGCGGAAACCCAGAATGTGACAGCCATAAAAAGAGCTCTGTCTTCTTGACCTTAGCCATTTGAAGTCCAGTTAACTTTCGAGCGGGGGAATGACTGGTTTTAAGTGCGAATTAAATATATTTGTATATATATATAAACTTGTATATAATTTTGTACATCTGTTGCATAATCTGGCAGTGAAACACACCAGGGAAGATGAAGTAGCAGATGCCAAACGAAAAAAATAAGAAAAAAAAGAAAACAAAAGGCCCCAAAGTGCCCGCAAATTGACAAAACTTTCACTTTAGACAATGAGTCGCCTCTGGCCAACCCCTGGCAACTCCTAACCCCTCTAACTCTTTGGGGGCGCCTCTGTCATTTGTGTAATCAAGTTTCAAGTGTAAATTGTAATTTTCTGCTGGATTTTCTGTGGTTACGAGGTTGCAAAAAAATAAAAAGGAGAATTAGATCTTCTATCCGGCGGTTGCCTTTCCATCGTTTTGTTTTATTTGTTTTGTCTTTGCAAATTGGGAATGGCAAAAGAAATAAAATTGCAATTTGTAAAACTAAATATTGAAGTGTAGTCCTAATTCATCGATTGAGATAATAATAAAGTATACAAAAATTAATTAATTTACATTTAAAAAGATAGATATTTCCCAAAGAAGTTGACTTTGTTCTTGGCTTAAAAACATTAACAAATTCTTCTTATAGCTTAGCCACTCTAATTGGAGCAAGTGGTGCAGTAGGTGGTGCCGTGAGTGGCTCAGTGGGTGTTGATCCTCCAAAGTGCCAAAAGTCTGGCCCCACTTGAAGGCACCCAGAGAGACCAGGCCCAGTGAGCGAAATGACTTGGCTAAAAGTTGTTAACGCTAATGGGCAATCGCAATTTACAACAACTTACAACAACGTACAACAACGTATAACAACGTACACCAACGGTGGCTGAAACAAGCTGTAACAACTACAACAATAAGCTCGTCTAAGCCCAGAAAATATTGCACAATAAATTTTCAAATTGCATTAAAATTGCATTTTGTGGGAGGGCGGATGACTGAGAGGCACTACATAGTAGTAGTGGAAGTTAACTTTTGGACAATCAACGGCACGAGTCACTAGGCAGCAACAACAATAACAACAACTATTGCAACTTGGTGGCAACAATTGTCAAGGTGCCCCAGGTGCGAGGGACTCCAAGCACAATCTAATAATATAGCATCAACACTTAACAATTGGAAAAGTTTCCTTGGCTTCTTAGCACAAGAAAAAAGGAGGGGCTAAGGGACTCTCCATACCGGACAATGCGAAAGAAAAGGAGTCAAAGTTGTAATACCCTAAGGAGACCAAATAATACCTGAGAAGATAAAAAGAAATATTTTAGATGGGTATAAGTAAACTATTAGTTATCTAAACATTTAAGCTATCTTCTGACCCTAAACAATCGAAGCCATAAATTAAGACAAGTATGTTTTTACTGTGACTTTTCAACTGTAGATACTTATTGTGTACTGATTGCCATACAAATCATTTTCCTAACAATTCAGTTAACGAGGCAATTGTCTATATTCTACTATTGTCTTTATTTTACTTATTATATCCATTGTTTTGTACCATATTGTATGAGTTCACCTTTTGTTTGCCTTTCAACAAAATAAAAGAAACCACATCGCAGACAGATATTTTTTACTACAAAGGTGTATCGAATGTAGCTATTAGTTGTTACTAAATAATTTTATTTTTCTTAACATTTTTCCGCACTATCAGTTACCATAAGCATTTGGACAGGGTATTCCCATTAAAATTGCCACGTTTGCTAGCCGGCAAAACTTTCATCCGGAATGCTTTTCTGGGCTACTTAAATGCAAAGGATTCGAAATGGAATGGCAGCCTCCGTTCACCCCCAGGATCCTGTATATATTTATCCCTTCTTTTATTCCACAGGGAGATGCCCACAGTTCCTGCTGCTGTTGCTGATGTCCCTGCTGCTGCTGCTACTCCCGATGTTGCAGTGTTTAATTGACTCAAAAGTCGGGCCGGAAGTTGACTTTTACACGCGGGCGGAAGTCAGCAGCGAAGATGATTACGATAGCGAGGCGACGATGGAAACGACGATGGAGACGATGATGATTATGATGAGGAGGAGCATAAAATAAACTTTTGCTAGTTTGGCCAACAAACTGTTGCCAACTCCCTTTCCCTCCAAGTATTCATCATATTTTAAGCTGTCTGTCAGTGTCAGTTTAGTGCGACAATTGTTTGGATATTGCCCAGGGAGTGTAGAGGCAGGAAGAGGGGCACAGAAACTACTTAAGGCAAAAGTTAAGTTTTTATGGGACATCTTAATGAATTTCAAATGAGTTCAAGCCCAGAAGCTGCCTCGTGGCAAACGTCATTAAAGCAATTGCCGTGAATTTTAAACAGTCTGCAATATGTTGGGAATTTCAGCGTATGCCAAGGCGGAAGACATCGCTTATATAGAATCGAATATATCGTTAATATCGGAATCGAAACGAGACAATGAAATAAAATTTAAAAATAAAGCCGAGAAAGAAAAACAGATTGTTCAGAGTGCTTTTAACATGGCCGGGCATATCAATTTGCCTTGACCTTAACCAACTTAAGGTGAGTCTCGGACTCGATAAAAAAACTAGCCACAAATTACAGACTTTATATATACATATATATATCTGGATATATGTATATATATTAAGAGTCAAAAACTAGCTTCGAAAACATATGGCTTGTGCATAAATTAAACATGCAAAAATATTTATAACCATTTGACTTTAGTATGTTTTATTTTGATTCAAACAAAAAAGTGATACTTTGAGGGTTATTAAAAATTTGCATATATCTTTTTTTAAAACAGAATCTAGTTTGTTTGTTTTATATTTTTGAATATATATAGATAATTCACTAAATATCACAGGAACATATTACTTGAAAATATAACTATACAAGTCACTTAAAAATGTATAAAGAATATTTAAAACAAGTTATTTCTTAGTTGTGTCTTAAAATCCTCAAAAAAATTTACGTGTTGATAACAAGAATAAAATGAATATATGAATAAATATTTAATATTTATTTAATACTCAACCAAATCCATTTTAGATGCCATAAAGAATTGGAATTTCAATTTAATTGCAAATGCGACCTCATCCACAGTGCGTGTCATGTTTAAAGTGAATTTATTTCTAATACTAATCGCATATATCACTGGCCACGCCCAAAAGCTTAGCTTAGCCAAAGGGGCTTAGACTTTAAGCCAGATTCAGTCAGCCAATTGAGGCCTTGTTCGGTTCAACTTGGCTTAGAAGCTAATAAAAAATACGCGACACAATTAAATTAAAGTTGAAAAATGGGCGAAACTGGAATTTTTTGTAAATGAATAAATCAAATGGACCACAGCAGTGACTCTATTTATTCTCAATCTCTAGCTAATCGACAGCAACATGCATATCTTGATGGCAATTTTAAGACATTTTTTTCCCTCCATCTTCTCAGTTTCAGTTTCACTTGAAGTTGAAGTTGGACTCCCTGCTGTATAAATTGTCTTTCGCTTCCATTGACTGACTTGACTGACAAGGCAAGCGCGTCTCGTTTGCCACTTAACAAAAATGCAGCTACCAACAAATTGCTAGCTGAAAATAGCAACAAATATAAGGTATACATTTTTAAGTATACAAGTGAAGTCGCAGCAGCAACAACAACAAATTGCGATTGACGTTTTACTTGTCGCACAATGCGGCGTATGCGTGATATGTGTACGAGAGCGCAAAAAAGGGAGGAAATGCAGCCAGGGGCGGAGGGGGTGGTGCTACGACCAGAGAGGGGGGAGGGGGTGTAGCAGGTGGTGCCACTGGTAGCCACATTGGTTACATAAGCGGAAAGTCTGGCAGTTGGCCAGGAATAAAAAATATCCACTCTGCGGGGGCGTAAAATAAGGAGAAAATGTAGAAAAACTTAAAAGACAATTTGAAGCACTTGAAAAATTATTTAAGATTGTATTTAAAATTTCAAAATTTATATATAAATAATAGATATTAAAATTGTTAAAACAATTTCTTAATTATTTTGAATTACAGGGAAAATAATAAGAAATAATAGCACCCAAATATATTCTTTTGATTCCAACAAACTTTATAAGAAAACCTTTTGGGTTCACTACGATGTATATGAATAAAATATAATTAGTACAGCTTGTACCCTTATTTATGTACAAAGAATTAAATATGTTTTTAGTTCTTTACTTCTCATAGTGTATTAAGAACTTCGGCTTGAGTAAAGTTTCCACTGCTAATTATTATATCATTTCTTGCCACGTGCTGAGAGCCAAAAAGGAAGCCAGCAAGCAAACGAATTGAATCGCACTGAGACCAAACAACAAATACAAGAAAAATAACAAAATAACAACAAAAATAGCAACAAAAAATAACAACAAAATAACAACAACAAATGAACAAAAAATAATAATAAAGAGAAGCACCACAGTGCTGCACACACAAAACCGACAACAATGGAGATATCATTGCAGTTGACATGCCTGCATTTCCAGAGATCCAAAAAGGAAAATTGTCTGCTCAGATTCTCTATATATATGTATTTTAAATGTTTTTCTTTTTTTACTTTCCCGCTCCTTGCGAGCTGCTAGTTCAATCACCATTGTCATCGTCTCGTTAAATGATTTATGGCGCAAGGCATGTCAACACGCCAAGATGAACACCAACGTTTTGTGGCGCAGAGAAAAATAGTCGAATTGTATACTCACATATATGTATATACAGATATATCATATATACAAATATCTGTTTCGACTTCATTAACGTATCTGTATCTGCGTTTTGTGGTCCAAATTTTTTGACCCAGTTTCCTCGGTTTAAGCCACAGGCAGAGTCGAAATTGGTTAATAGCAAATGCTCGCTTCGTTTACGAATGGAATTTTTTTGAGCAGATGCTCACTCCGAGATGAAATTGTAAGTTGCGTGGGTGTCGGCATTTAAATTATATATATATATATATATATATATATATATATAATACATATATTATGTGGGCATGATATCACAACTTTAAATTACCTTTTTGGCTGAAGCAAGTTGCACTTATACAAGTTATTAGGCGATCTTGGATATGGTTTAATTAAGCATTTAATATTACAACATTTATTTTGGGTAATATTATTATTAAATTTTCGTAAACTTATATTTACAGCTGTGAGTTCTCTGACGACTGGTAGGTAATTATTAAGGTAAAAAGTTATTTTTTAAAATAGTTTATCAAGTAGAGAGACTTTTAGAGGCAATAAACTGGCAGTAAATCAGGTATTTTTAACAGAGAAATACATTTTTAGTGCCTGGTTTGTTTTTATATATAAATTACTATTGATATTTTTAAGAGATCTCATAATTTATTTTTAGGCACTGTTTGTTGTTTCTAGAGCCTTTCCTAAGATAAAAATAATATTTACAAAAGAGGAAGCATGTTTTTAGTAAGCATTTACTTAGATTCAGATTCTTGACTAAAATTGTTCATCATCAATTCATAAATTTTCCATAAAATTGTTACACATTTTCTAAGATTTTCAACCAAATTACATCTGTCTTATGTTGTCATCTAGATCCCCATAAAATCGTTACATTTCAATTTGTTAAAGGATGCCTGCTGATTTGCCGTCATTTTAAGATGGATTTCTTCAGAGATTCGTGCAAATTTCTTGCACAAAAAAAGTGAAAGCCATTAAGTGACATAAAACAATGCAAAAAAAAACCGAAAGAAACACAACCCGCGGGCAGTTTTTGGCCAACAAATTAGCAAGGGGGTTTGGCCCGAAGTGCTAATTGCCCGTCACAATGGCACAATGTTGAAGTGATCTATGGAGCAGTGATACAATGATCCATGGAGCCACAGACGATGATCGATATCGGAGTCTGGGACTACGACTTCGTCTGGGAATGGGAATGGGAATTGGGGAATTGTGGGGAATTGCCTGGCTGGCAATTAAGTAATAAAATAACAGAGCTGCAGCTTGCTCAACAATCGGTGCGATAGTCCGGTTTTAGAGTTTTTTTTTCTCCGAGTTGGGGTTTTGGCCAGGCCAACACCCAGCTGAGCTGCTGTGACTGCAAACGGTGGCTAAGGAAACAGGTAACAACTGTGCCAACTTCCTTGGAACTGGTCCAGTCACGCAGGTTCGACGGGCCCAGAGACCCCGAGACCCGAATTGGCCAAAAAATAAAAATAAGAGTCGAAGCCGAAATCGAAACCGAAACCCGACTCGTATACCGAAAAGTAAAAGGAAGTTTAGGCCAACATGTTTGGCCGCTTTTCCCCCATCCCCCGAGGCTCTCCGCTCTATGGACAGACCCATCCAAGTGCAAATTTGTCAAGCAAATATGGTCGAAAGGGCAACTGAGGCGGCAGCACGCGCTACTCAGCGCCAGCTGAATGTTAACGAGGGGCGCTACCAGAGTTTCAAAAAACACTGCAATTAACTATGGTTACGATGACCGTAAATCACACATAACCAACTTCTCCGGAGATGGCGACAATTAAGACTTGCCATAATTTCATTGCAACATTTCACATAGCTACTACAGTTTTTTATTTAGTTTAAGGGGAGATCTTAAAGTTACTTCAAGTTACTTTTAATTGTAAGAAAAGAAGTGCTAAAGCTACCCGCCTTGGGTTTGTTTCTGAAAAGTCTGAAAACTAATATTGTCACAAAGCAGTTGCGACTTGTGATCACCTTGAAACAGTCAACAAAGGAAGTATAATCTTTTATGACTTGTATAATCAGTAATTTCTTAAACAATTTTTATAAATGTTAAAAGTAAATTTTACAATGTTTAAAATGACTTAATTGAGTTAATAAACAAATGGAAAAATGTAAGAGAACCTTGAAATGTTTCACAAAATAGTTTGGAATTGAAAATGTAGCTTTCTTTCATATATTATATAACCCATTTCTGTATTTTTTATGACATGTATTTTTATGCTATATATCCCTTTTAGTCTCATTTAATATGTTTTTAATTAATTGATTTTAAAGCTAATAAAAAAGTTTATAAACGTAAGAGAACCTTGGAAAGTTTCTCATGCAAATTAGTTGATTAAAATCTATCTTTCTTTCGTATAAATTCCATTCCTAGCTTCTTTATGATATGTATCTTTCGCTATATATACTTTTAAGCTTCATTTAGGTGACTTTATTTGTTAGCGTATAAATAAATAGAAAAATTCAACAGAATCTTGAAATGTTTCATACAACAATTTGTAATTGAAAATGATCTTTCTTTTATTCCTGGCTTCTTTATCATATCTTTATGATATACTAGATCCTTTTTCGGCTCATTAACAATGTTTTAGATGGTTTAATTTGTTGAGCTAATAAATAAATTGAAAAATGTAAAAGAACCTTGAAATGTTTTACATGCAAATTAGTCAAACAAAATCTATCTTTATCTATCTATCTATCTATCTTTATATATCTCTGTATCTTTTATGATGTATATCTTTAGGCTATCCTTTTTAGGCTCATTTAAAATGTGTAAATGACTTAATTTGTTGAGCTAATAAATAAATAGAAAAATTCAAGAGAACCTTAATAAGTTTCACATACAAGTAAGTTAATCAAAATCTATCTATCTATCTATCTATCTATCTTTCTATCTTTCTATCTTTCTATCTTTTATAATATATATACTTTACTTTATGATAAATCCTTTTATAAGTTAGTTAATCACAATCTATCTATTTATCTATCCATCTATCAATCTATCTTTATATTTATGAATCTATCTGTCTACCTATCTATCTATCAATCAATTTATCTATATATCTATCTATCTTTCTATCAATTTATCCACTCATCTATCCATCTATCTATCTATCTATCTATCTATCTATCTATCTATCTATCTATTTATCTATATATTTATCTACCTGGCTATCTATCTATCTATTTATTTTTCTATTTATCTATCTATCTATTTATTTATCCATCTATCTATCTATCCATCTATCTTTCTATCTATATATCTATCTTTCTATCTAACTTTCTATCTTTCTATCTATCTATCTATCTATCTATTTATTTATCTATCTATCTATCTATCTACATATCTATCTATCTATCTATCTATATATCTATCTATCTATCTTTCTATCTATCTATCTATCTATCTACCTATCTATCTATCTATCTATCTATCTATCTATCTATCTATCTATCTATCTACCCATCTATCTATCTCTTACGATATATATAGATGATATGATGATAGGTATATGTTATAGATCCTTTTTCGGTTCATTGACTCACCTTGCCATTGGCCAGCGGTATCTGCAGGACATCCAGCTCCTGATTGCCGGCTGGCTGTGGCAGTGGCACGGCGCTGATAAGGCACACGGCGCTGCATAGAGCGAGTGCGAGGAGTTGCTGTCTGCTGGGCTGCCTCATGCTGTCTTTATGTGTGTGTGTGTGTGCGAGCGAGCGAGCAAACTGAACTGAAAAGAGACGGAATACTAATTAATGATAATTCGATAAAGGTCGGCGCGATGACCTTCCGTTATCACGCCGGAATAAAACATATATGAGATAAGTTTTCGAGCTTTTTGATTTTATGTTAACATCTTCTTTTTTTTTAAATTTTTTTCTTGACTCATCTTTCGACCGTTTTCTGTTTGACTTGTTGGCCATTCTCTCTCTCTCTCTCTCTGAGCCAAGGTCTATGCGCCAAGATGCGGATGCTAACGACAACTGTCAATATATGGCCAGTTTCGGGCTGCGGTTTTTTTTGGTCAAGTTTAAATATTGGACATTTCTTGGGCAACACGGCGTATGAGTAATGCTCGCTGTATGTGGACACACAGCAGCAACAATTTTTTGTTGTTTAAATCACAACAGCAGCAACAACAACAACACGGCCATAAGAATTATGTAATTTTCTTTTTCACTTTGTTTATTTTTTTCTTTTTGTATTTTTGTTATTGTTATTTTGTTTCGTTTTTAATTTTTTGCCTTGCAATTTCCTTGGCAAAGCTTTTCAAAGCTGGACTTTTGTTGAAAAGAAATTGAATGCGATGGACATGGCAGGTGCGAAAATCCAAGCATGATCTCCGTAATTACACACACAAAATGAAATGTGAGAAAATGCATTCGAAAAAAGACAAAACTCAAGTCCAAAAAAGAGAGAGGAGTGAGTGAATAATTTCTTTGGTCAACAAAACAAATCAAAACAAACTTGCAAAAAATATTAGTCATCTTTTAATGAGTGAAACTAAGTACACAGACAGGGAAACCAATTATTAGACTTTGATATGTTGACATTGGAGAGAGGGGCACAAAGGTTAAGGCTATAAGGGGTTAAGCAGCTGGGATTACTTTGGAAATGATAGATCTCTATAGGTTGATACATTAGTCATCAATAAGGGAGACTATTTAAGTGCTTAGTGTAAACAATTAATTAGAAAAGGTAACTAAGGGAGTATATTTCAACTCAAATACATTTAAACCCTTTTAGAAAAAGGTTTCTTGAATGAAATACATTTCTTTTAATATTTCCAGCTAACTTTATCTAAAATAATTAAGAAATATTAAAGCAGTCTGCAAAAGTTTACAAAACAAAACCAAAAACCCCTTTAAATAACTCAAACTTATTTAGTCTAAAAATCCACTTTGTCTCTCTTAAAATATTTAATAACAATTTATGGAATTTCATATAATTACTTGCCCCATAAAGCTATATTAGGTAATTTAATTACTCTCTATACATAATAGTAAATACACCGATTTAAGCATATTTTTGTTTTAAGTATGTTTAAAAAAAATGAAATAAGCTGGGAAACACCCAAAGTCATCTTCAGCTGAGGCATGCAAGAAGTGAACTTGAAGGTGGATTTTTCGGCCGTTTTGTTTTGGCCGCTTTGTCTGGCTGTCAATCAAGCAATCAGTCAAGTCAGTCGTCCAACAATTTGGCAATACCAAAGGGGTGAAAGGGAGGGGAATTACCAGAGCCGCAATGCTCGCTGGTTTGCTGGTCAAGCGGAGACTCGGGTCTTAACTGGGCCCAAAACAAAAACAGTGCCAAAGTAGGGCGTAAGCGCCAAAAGCAGACGAAGGCGAGCACAACAGAAAAGAGAAAGAGAAAGAGGGGAACAAGAGAGAGATAGAGAAAGAGTCAGAAAGAGAGAGAGAGAGCGAACCGCAACCGGCAACAACATGGCCAAGATGTGTTATGTCATCTGCCAGCTTTTGCTTTTACTTTCAAGCTCTGCCTCTCTCTCTCTTTCTCTATCTCTCTCTCGGTTATCTCCCCTCCTTTTCACTTGATCCATTTGGCTTCTAACAATTGTTAGTATCAAGTGATCAGTAATTTTTTGATCGCTGATCGACAGTCCACAATGACTTGACATATTCCAGCTTAATAATATTATTTGTTTTTTTTTTTTTTGCATACGGAACTTGGTTTACGACTCTGCTTATTGCACAAATATCATAAAAACTCGTAAAAAATCAAAAAGCAAAATCCGCATCTGGCATTGAGTGCATGCTCCGACATGTCGTAATTAAAAAGGCAAAGCCCCAAAAAAATAAAACAACTGTGATAATCAAGGCTTGAGTGGGATTTCTTGCCGCGATTTCGACATCGAGGCGTGGCAAAAAAATAACCAAAAACAAACTAAAATAAAAACTAAACCAAGTGACTTGACAGATTAGATCCGCAGATCTGAAGTGTACTTCCTGTGGCAGGCAGGGACTTGCAAATTAAAAGCATTTGGGATTGGTTTCAGGGACACACTGCGTATGAGTAATATTTTTGGAGGGAGGGTGAGAGACTTCTAGAAGAATTTTTGGGGTGATCTTATTTTAGATCTCAAAAATTACTGAAAGTTTTGTGGGGTGAATACAATAACAAAGAGTGCATTTTGAGGGTTTTAAGATTTAATATAAAGAATTAAAGAATTTATTTTAAAGAATTAAATGAAAGACTTCTTGAATTTTTAAGTTTTTGAGAAAGAGTTTTCCATTAAGAAAAAAAAAAAAAGCAAGACTTGAGGACTTGGTTTTTCTCTTAAGAGTTATTTTTCTAAGGTACCATAATTTCGGAGTCAAATAAACTTAAAAACCAAAAGAACAGGGTAATTATTTAGAATATAATACTTTTAAAATGTACAGAAAAAATAATCTAGTACGCTCCTATAAACCTTTAATTCTACAAAGCTCATTTTTTAAAGTTTAGTTTTAAAACTTAACCAGCCGGCTTTGGAAAAATGATCTTTTGAGCTTTGTTTTTATAATTTTTCCCATCTCAATTCTAGAAAAAAAACCCCCTTCTGGGCAGACTCAAAACCTCCACCCCTTCCATCGATTTCAGCACTCAAAAAAACACGAAACGAAAACACGAAAAAGACCTCTCGAAACGCAATTTGAAAATTGGCAATCAAAAACGTTTTCTGTTAACCAACTCGCATTAATTGGGCAATCGAAGTGAGTTAATGAAGGCAGCAAGCAAACTGGGAAATTGAGAAGACCGAAAAATTAGTTCAGCACACGCGTCCGAATTTTCTTGTTGTTGAACTTATTAAATGTTGTTGTTGATGTTGCTGTTGTTGTTGTTGTTGTTGGTGAAATTTTCTTTGCATTCAGATGATTCTTGTTTTCTTTTTTAAGTCACAAACTAAAATTTTTATGAGTTTCTTTTGGGCACAGTAAAAAAAATATCGAAAAAAAAAATGTTTTAATTTATGGTTTTCTTTTTGTTGTTGAAGTTTTTTGCTTAAGTTTTTGGTTTTTCTTTAGGGATATCCTCGCGTTTTGAGTTTTTCAAGTTTCTGTTTTTTTGTGATTTATATTTTTTTGCACACGGTTTTGATACATACGCGTTTCTTAACTGAGGCGGTTGCCTTTTTTGTTGGTTTGCCAACAAATTGTACAAAAAAGCAGCCCAAAAAAAAAGTTATATATGTACGATGTGTGGCTACAAGTGGATCGGTGGATCGGTGGATCTGTGGATCGGTGGATCTGTGGATCGTAGCTGCTCTCAGTGCTCTGTGGTCCGGGCTGTTGGGCCTGCAATTGATTACTAACGTGATTTTATCACACACAAGCGACTAAAGCTCGAGACAAAGCGCGCGTCCGACGCCAGCGGCGGCAGCAGCAGCACGCTCGGCGTCGGCAGCGGCGCCCAAGCTGCCGCCCGTCGTCAAAACCCCCTCCGCCTCCCCCCCTCCGACCGTTTGTCCCGCTCTTGAAAACCGCTCGAAACGAAAACGAAAGTGAGCCAAGTTGCGGCTGAGGCGCTGCGTCTCTTGACCAGGCGTCGCTTTTTTGAGTGCATTTCGGTTGTATATTTTTTTTAATACAAAGCATTTTTAACTCCTCTCTGGGAGTACTTGGATTTTTTTTGTTTATGTATTTTCCCCATCTTGTTTTTTTGAATTTTTTTTGGGGGAGGGAGCCACACTATTACGCGAAAAGTTTCCGCCTCGTGACTGCCAGCTTCAGTTTGTCAGTTTGTCAATCCGCGTCAGCTGGATGTTTCAGTGGGCCGTGGCCAGGATTAGAGCCCGTTTTATTTCCATTTTACCATTTTCCATTTTCCATTTTCCCATTTTCATTTGTAATTTTTACTGATATTTTGTTGTTGTTGTATTTTTAATTTTTTAGAGGCTTACACAATCTCCTGCAGCTGCAGCAACGAGCTCATCCTTATTGTTGTTGCGGATTGAGCACGATCATTGCCCTGCCGCCAGTCGATTGCAATAATCGTTTATCGATTTTGCCTTTTGCCAGTCGAACAATCGAACGTTTAATCGTAATTTCAATTGACTGACAATTCCGCATTGGCCAAAAAAGGTAATAACAAATGGGATTTGTCAGGGAAGTTTCGGCAAGTGATTAAAAAGTCGTGGGCTTAATGGAAATCGTGATGGTTTGGTATTTAGAATATGATTAATATTCAATGGATAATTGATTGGGTAATTTTTTACACAATTTTCGAAAGGAAATTCTTTAGGAAAACTTGGGAAATACCTTACAAGAATTTACTAATTTAAAACAAATCAAAGAACTCTGTATTTAATTCAAATTCCAGGCTATACAACTCCTTATTAATTAAAAAAATAAAACTACTTATTATTGATTTCCTATGAATTTCAATTCAAAGTTCAAACAAGTTCACTGAACTTGATTTTCCACTCGAAATTCTTCATTTCCTTGCCACTATTTGGTCTTTCCGGCTCTAACTGCCTCCGAAAAGGTGTCCAAAAACTGGAACTAAAGGTTGCCCACTACAATACCGCCCTGTCATGCTGGCCATGCACTTTGGCCAAGCCACTCGATGATAATCAAAGCCAAAAAAACCTTCGGCCGCGAATACACAAAAGCTTGAAAAAGAATAAACAACAAAAATGTAATATTGAAAATGTTAAAAACTGACCAACCGCAAGACAATGTCGCCGATCTGTGGTTAGCGACAGTTATAATACGTTCTTGAATGATCGATCATGAAGATTATTATAATAATGGAGAAGCTGTGAAGACGAAGCCTCAATTTGACCTTCTGAGGAAGCAGAAGCAGAAGCAAAAGTCGAAGCAGAAGCAGAAGCTATAGCTCTTTGTGAACGACATTTTTGTTGTTGATTTTTTAGTGATGAGTGAATGGAATTCCAGCAGGTAAAGTACAGTGAATAATGACTAAAGAAAATATAGAAAATAATTCCTTAAGAGTTATTATTCAATAATACAAATTCCAGCAGGTTACAGTGAATAACAGCTAAAGAAAATATTTATAAAATTCCTAACGAGTCATTTTTGAATAAATGTTTATACAAATTCCAGCAGGAAAAGTACAGTGAATAATGGTTAAAGAAAGTTTATAAAATAATTCCTTAAGAGTCATTTTTGAATAAATTTATATACAAATTACAGCAAGTAAAGTTCAGTGAATAATGACTAAAGAAAATATAGAAAATAGTTCCTTAAAGAGTCATTTTTGAATAAATTTATATACAAATTCCAGCAGGTTAAATACAGTAAATAACAGCTAAAGAAAATATAGTAAATAGTTACTTAAAAATAATTTTTAAATGTATTTGTATACAATATATTTAGGGCTTAAGCTTAACTTAAGTTATGAGCTCATTTGCATTGTCCTTTCATTTGTTTTCTATTTCAAGCAGTATTAAATTAGACAATTTGTAATAGATTTTCTTATTGAATTTCTTTTTATTTTATTTTATAAATTTAAGGCATAAATGTGAGTGAATATCTTTGACTTCTAGAAATTTATTTATCCCATAAGACAACACTGTACTATGTCAGTGTGAACCGGAAGCGTGTGTTCAATGCGACTCGACGTGATTCGTTTCGATTCGATTCGTTTCGCTTCGATTTGATTATTGGTTCGAGCATCGCTCTTTCATTCACTATACTATAGGTTTTTTTGTTTATTTTCTGCGGCTCTTGGGGCTCTCCGGCATTACCTTCGTCTGAAGGATAACCGGTAACCAGTTGGGAGTGGGGCCCAAAGATCTGCGGTTGCCATGGGTTAACGACCAACCTGTCTGTGTGTGTTTGTGGAAGTGTGGAAGTGCAGGCAGACATGCATGGCGGGCCACAAATTACGCATACGCCGCGTGGTACCATACCAACTGGAGCTACTGGATCTGGCAGATAAAGTATCTCGCAACAGCAACAGCAACAGCAAACGGCGACAGCAAAAATAAATGCAAAAGCGAATGCGAACGCAAAAAGTGGAGCTAAAATCAGTCAGTCAGTCGGTCGTTTGGCTTAGTGACTCTGTGAGACTAGCGACTAGTGAGACTCACTAAAAGTTGCATGCGTTCGAAATCAGTTTAAGGTGAATTAGATTTTGACACACAAGCATATATGCATATATGCATAGAGAGGCACACAGAAAACCAAAAAACCAAAAAACCGAAAAACCAAAAAACTAAAAAAACAAAACACAGTTTACAGAGCTAAAAAAAAAATAAGAAAAATTATGAAATTAGTCTCAGTCGCTTGGGTCGTTCGCTTTTGCAAAAGCTGCCAAATCGAAAATGACAACGAAATTGGCTTTAATGGCCGGACCTCTATTGTCTCCATCTGTTGGCTCTTATTGTTGCTCTGCCACGCCCCCTCCTCTTGTCGGTATTAGGGCGGGAGTGATTAACTTTTGACCCAAGACTTGAACACCCCAAAGGCCTTTAAGTCCGGGACATAGTAAACCATTCTTCAACTGGGTTTTGTTTTTATTTTAAAGTAATATTTAAAAACAAAATTGTAATAGTTGCTTAAGAGCTTTTATTATTGAACTTATTCTTTCTATATTCCCTGTAGGAATTGTGAATTCATAAAAAATATAAATTTCTAGAACCAAAAATTTTTTTTGGTCGCACTTTGCGCTTAATTCTAATTTTATTTATATTTTGCTAGGTTACACTTTTTGCTTATTACATATTTTTTTCCTTAATTTCTATGGGTTACACTTTATGCTTATTATTAATCTTTCTAATTGATATCAGTTGCAGCTCAGCTCTCAAGTGTTATTCTTAGTTAAGTTAGTTACATCATTGTGTGTATAATTCCTAGTTTTTGTGTAGTTACGGTAGTCACATGATCGTTTGTAGTATTCTTAGTTAGAGTCGTTACATTGTAGTGTGTAGTGTATTTACGTGTATAGTATTAGATAATGGCTCCACAAACAGCTAGAACCGGCAAAGTCATCCATCTGAATCCTGGCGCGTGTATTTCCATGCTCTTCACCGGGATTCGAACCCGGACCGGCGGTGGCCTTTGACTTTCTGGACGGGATCTGTACTGTTTACCCGTTAGGCCACCGCCAGTGGCGAATGACCTGCTTTTCGTACTTTAACTTAAACCTAACCTACTGGATTTGGTAAGCAGTTTTGAATTCCAGTGTTGCACAACGTTCGGTAGTGTTGGAAAGTGCTTTCAAGGGCATGCAGTGAACAGAAAGTTTGAATCAAGAACACAAGAGACATTGACCCAATTATTAATGTATTAATGAATATAAAAGTGAAAAAGACATATAAAATATAATTAATAGAATAAAAAAAGGAAAAAACAATAAAAAGTACAAAATACATATTATTACCTATGCTTTTAGGTAGGATTGAACCTGGTCCGATTTGGAAAAGGATAAAAAAGAAAAATAATATTCCCGGCATCTAGCCCACCGAGCTACTTATTTTCTTGGAAATACTGAAGCAATTGTAATAAGAAATAGTTATTGCATCATATTATAAATAAATCAAGATATTCCTCCAAAAAAGGCAGTGCTTAAAGTGAGTTACTTCGTCTGTAACTTTGCTCTGCTCTAATTTTATAATAACCAATTGAAGAAAAAATTAAATTGAACTTAGACTTATTATATTTCCTGTCTTTTGTTTAATTTTTGAGATTTGAAAATTACTTGAAGTGTAACATAAATACAATATTGAAGAATGAATTATGAGGGGTTCAATATTTGTTGAAAATTAGAGAATTTATTTTATTTATTTATTAAATTAAAGATTTTTTGACCTTTTTAGTTTTTTAGAGCTATTTTGGAGCTATTTTTATAAGCTCCCTGATGTTCTTACGAAAATAAACTTGAAAAAATTAACAAAGTAGTTTTGAAGTATATTATGCGTTTAAAATGTTAAAAAAATAATTTATAAAACTTCCAAAATTAAATGATACATAGCTCAATTCCTGAAAGTTTTTTTTTTCTTTTTAATGAACCAACCGGCTTTGGAGATATTCTCCTTGAAGCTTTGTTTTCATTATTTTTCAATCTTAATTCTGCAAACATTCCCTCCTGGCCAGACATGAACTACACCTATTGGGATTTGCAAGCAGAATCACAAGCAGTGCTGCACAGCTTTCGGCAGTGTTGGAAAGCGTTTTCGAGGGCAGGCAGTGCACAGAAAGTTTGAAT